AACGAGGTGATTCTTGAAAGCATGGAGTCCCTCGCCACAAAAAAGTGCATGCGCATGAATGGGCGTAGTGAGATATGCCGGTCGAAGACTGACGATTTTTTCGGGTGCGCGTGAGGTCGCCTCTAACATTCGTTTGCTCATTGTTTGCTTCATTGTCCAGTCTATAGTTACTACCTCGCATAGCGTATTGAAGCGAGCGGAGGGTGAATAATCTGTCGTTGACTTGCGGACCCTTCTTCGGGTCCATTATATTTTCGTATAACTTTTTGGGTAAGTTAGCCTGTGACCACGGCGGGAATCGACAGCGTCAAGTGTCAGACTATCGTACATAATAGTACGAACAGACGAAGAAGGTACAATAAGGTACTGGGTAGAGAGAACAGAACGAACTGTTTTTTATAATTAATTGTGAAGACAACAACAACAACGGCACTGCTGGGTTCGTCCATGGATAGTTTTTGCAGCACTTTTTTTTTATTGAAGTATTTGTGTATAAAACGATTCTTCATGGATGGGTAATGAGAGGTTTCAATTCAACTACGGTTTTTAGTGTGAAGACAACAACAACAACAGCAACAACAACACAACTTACTACTACAGTAACTTACCTACTGGAGTATGGAGGGTGCTCGTTGTTCTTATGCATGGCTTGTACCGGCAGTAGTAGTAGGTGACATAATATATCGCATCATCAATATTCACAGCTAATAATGTTAGTCCACGACGACGAGGATGTCAAACGATACGATCCAACGCCGCCCTGCCACGATTTCTGCTGTGGAGTAATCGAGCTTTGAAAATTGAAAATTGTTAAGGGGGTGTGATATCTTATGTCATCTACTCTGTGTGTAGAACTCTTTGTCGTGCTCGGTGGGCGAGGGTGTCGCGGTGTGCGCCCTCGACTTTATTAACGGCTAAAAAGCTGGAAAGCTTCAGACAGGCAACGCGACGATACTCGTCAAGTTGCTATCACAATACATATTTTTAGGTCGAGTCAGTCGGGGAAAATTCGTGAGGACAAAGAGCGTAGAACATTTGTCAATGCTGCATACTCGTCGACGTTCCTGCTGACCTCAGTGCGTCAAAGAGGACCAACACCCAACTGAAACACTCCTCGATGTGTGCAGCGATTTTCGCTCCTGCTTAGTTTCTGGCATATCATGCAGTTTCGTTCTGGCCAGGCATGCAATGCAAACAGTTACCATCACATGCACTAGGGCACTACATAGATGGCAATGTTTCACAGGTATCGAGGGCAGGCGACGTTGTAGATATCGCCTTAACGCCCTGTCAACGCCCGCACTGTCACCCGCCAGTTCGGACACTTTTGGAGCGACGATCAGAACCTACTTCAAGTGGCGGTCAGACGCAGTCCTCCTTGCTAAACCAACATCAGGGATTCACTGGATCAGCGACAAATGTTTGCCACCGATATTCGAGTCGACCACCCCCCACCCAACAGAAAGTCCTACCGGCCACCAACGTGCCTTGCGCGATTTACCAACGCTCATAGACTAGGGAACAAGCGGGCTACATGCGCGGTGGTAGCAGCACTTTGGCGCAGTAGCATAGCGCCTATGTAGCTATCTGGTTTGGCTTCTATTCATTGGTTGACAAGAACCTTTTCCAACAGAGAAAAGCAGGATAATGGTCATGTGGTCCAGGCACATGCATACGCCGTCATCGACAAAGCAGCGCGGAAGTCTACCTGAGCCAAAACACACCAACTGCAACGTCCCGAGCGAAACTGCAGCAGGACGAAGAACTGTGCCGGCTGCACCTCTTCATACTCTATGGAAATATTCATGAGATATGCACGCTAGCGTACCTTCTCCCGTGGTTTGCCGACGCGAAAGTCAGTTCACAGTTTGATGACGTCATCGAGGAGAATCTGGAACTGAACACAATCACGATGCTCGGTCTACTGTAACTACCACAATTCGCCCGTCGATGCCGCAAGGCCCTCCAAAGAATGTCGGTCTACAACATTACAGCGAAGAAAAAGCGAGCGAAATGTACATTGAGACTCCAGTGCCGCTGACGAACATGTCGTGTCACGAGTATCCATTGAACGGGAGGTCGGCCTTGCGAACATACCTGGTTCAAATAAATTTCGAGTGAGGCGAACGAGGTGTGGGAACCTACAGAAAGTATTTTTAAGTTGGCAGTTCATTTGTTTGATCCAGAGACGAGCGTGCCCGCCTTTATCTGAGGTTGGACAATGGTTCAATGCCAATCCTGCTCACGTCTTATATTTCATGGTCAAGCCAACTCGTTGCCGTTGACCTATAGTCTACATGTGCGCCCGCACCCAGGTGAAGCACCTGCTGAATAGCTTTACGTCCAACTGTTGGAATGTCTGCCATCCCATGGGCGTCTTCGGCACAGACGACGGGTGCAAGTTTCTCGAAGGGCGGCCTAGGGCAGCGTTCATTGTAGCAGGCCATGCCCACGACCTAGCACGGAACGCTGGTCCCTTCAGCAGCAATGCTCGAACGGCCGCCTCCACGCTTCCGTTCCTCTCGTGATGATACACTCCGATCGCGTCTTCGGCGACCTTACCCTGATAATCGGCTTTTCCCGCGAGTGCACCAGCCGAGAGAAGAACACGAATGGCAGGGATGGCGCAATACTTGGCAGCGGTGTGGAGCAGTGGACAGCCGAACGCGATCGCCATGATAGCGTGGGTGCTAGGAAAATCGCGGGCGGGGGCCAGACCCACGTCTACCGTCTCGTGTGAACAGTACACAAACTGGTTCGCCCAAACCTCTTGTTTCTCGTCTCCTTCCACGTTCAACAGAATCGTAAGCATATCAATATGCCCGTACTGCACCGACGTACGCATTGCGTCAGCGATAGCTGGTTTCCCGCCAACGGCTTCGAATCCGTTTTTGAGCAAGAACCGCACCGAGCTCCCCTTGCCGAGCTTGGCGGCCGCGTTAAGAGAGTTCATGCCCTTCTCCGCCCACGCCGACAAATCACTTGCCCCCGCAGATAGGAGGAGCGACATCGTGCTCTCTCGACACCATTCCGCAGCTGCTGCAAGTGGTGTAAAGCCCTTGTGAGTGGCATGATTCAGTGTCGATGGTGCCTTGGAAAGAAGCAGTTCAACAACCTGGGTCTCACAGTGAGATGCGGCAAAGTGAATGGCAAGGAGGCCAGTCCCATCTTCGAGTTCCACATCCGCGCCAGCCTTCAGCAGCGAGTTCAACATCTCCGCCTGGTTTGGCGTTGATGGCCTGCAACAGCGTACTCCCTGACACGCCATCATCACCGGAGTAACCCCCCTGGTGTCGGATGAGTTTGGGTTTGCCCCTAGTTGGAGCAAGACCAGCATGGCCCGCACTTTGCCAAGGATTGCCGCGATGTGCAAGGCCGTGAAACCGTTCAAGTAGGGCCAGTTCGGATTCGTTTCGCAGCAGTATCCATCACTCTTGACCCGAGAAGTGCATGTAGCTTCTATCTCTGCCCCGCTTCTGACAAGGGCCTTGATGATGTGGACGTGACCGTGAGCAGCAGCGACCGCCATGGGGTGGATATTTTCTTCTCGTGATGCGCGCAGGCTTGCTCCTGCTGCCAGCATTCGTGTAACATCTTTCAGGCGTCCATGGACTAGCGCATTCATCAGCTGCCCCGATTTCCTCGCTTCACGATTCATTATTCGGCTAATGTTGGCGTTGATGTCCGGGATCAGGCTCGCGGTTGTGGGCGCCTCGTTGTGTGTCGTGCGCTAGAGGCGCTCCTGGGGATTTCCGCCTCGATGAGAAAGGCGGCGTAATTGGTCGGGGGTTTCACCTTCACCCCTCTACGTATGATGGCACTTTTTGGTTTTCATGGCGGGGCAGAAATGATGTGAATGCTGTCTGGATTTTGGTGAGCTTTTGATCATTTCTTGTGTTTCACTTTGCTTGACCTCGTTGGGCGGTGGACACTGCTGCTCGTCAGGAACATTCCGGATGGTAGAGAGATCAGAGAGAGGGTGCGGTCGTTGTTGTGAAGAAACAGACCACAAAACCAACCATCGTGGAATTTTCATGGATGGTGACATAGCGTCCACAATCGTGGACCGCTCTCTTGTACTTGCTGTCTGTCGTTGTTTGTTGCAGCGGGAGAGGATGTGCCAAAGTACGCTCTCGAAGACTCAATTGTTCGTGATGGAGCGAGCAGCTCCAGGTCGACACAGTACTGCTGTGATCACCTATTGTTGTATTTCCTTCGTACGCCTGTTCTTCTATATCCTCCCTCTGTTTTTTTCCCCGGTGAGCACGACACCCTGCACGTCATCTCCTCCCGAACAACAAATTTGAATCCACAGAGTCTAGGGTATTCGTTTCGTTCCGAAATTGTCTTGTCGAAATCTATGTCCCGCCACTCTCCCGCCCGCCCGGAGATACACGCCACACACACCTATGTTGTCCCCACTACATGGTGGATTCCCTAGAGGATCATGGCATACACTAAAAGGAACGACTGATGGTATCTGGTTTCTGAGGCTCAGCGGTGCACGCAACTGACAATATTGCTGGCTGAGTCCACGCTTGGACGAAACGTGTGACCCCACAGGATTGAACGCATATGGATGTGTACCTCATCCTCATCACGCCGAGTGAGCACAGATGTTCACCCTTTGCTGCGCATGTGCAACAGAGGTAAAGTCACGCGTGCGCGGGATCCTTTCGATGCGACCACGCGACCCCATCTTCTTGAGGTGGCCGATAACAACGGAGACATTGAAGGTGCTCGTCGTTCAGAGACAGAAGGTGAGGCAGACATCGAAACCGAGTACATACGTATAGCCGGGGAACTTGAAGGCCCAATTCGTAGGTGACGTAAGATATCACACCCCCTGGGTCGATGTTTTGACTCGAGTACTGCACGACCAAGTGAACGTACGAGCCAATCATTGTTTTTCAGAAAGCTCTCGAGGATACAGTCCCAACGCTGCCATTCTTGATACTACGACTCCTGATGTTGTGGAATAATAAATAATCGAACCTTCAAATTGGCCCCTAGGGTGTGAAGTATTGCGTCACCTACATGCTGTTTGTATGACGACCCGACGACCCCCTCTTCCACAATGTGGCATGATGAGCCTCCAACTCGAATCGACGACATGGACGAAATCCAGCTTGCAGACAGAATCAATGGCTTGCAAAGGTGCTGGGGTGTGTTCCTCTAATCCACACTCAATGCTTTAGACAAGATGTGTCACATCTTTTTGCTAGTACGCAAGAATCCACGTATACGGCCTTCTCAATTCACACTGCTTCACACACGGGTGACTCTCTTGTAGCTGTGCGTTTCTGCTAGACTGTCAAGGGTATCACTGCCACTTTCCGTCTAAAGACCATCAAGCCGGCTCCGCAGCAGCCGTCCCCCTTCGTACCGAACGCATCGGGTGCGCTGAGGGAGTTTGATTCGAAGTGGACGCCACGGGCGACGTACGTAGGAGGAGGGGCACAATGGAGATTGGGGCTGTCCGCCTGCTCGAGGTCAATGCTCTCCAGCCCGCCTGTTCTTTTGGCCGGGATTGGCTGTGATGCGGTTATTTTCCTGGCGGGTGCGTATGGTTAGATCTTGAGGCTCTTTATGTATGTGGTGAAGCTTGACAACGTGACTTTCGCGATATTGATTTTGTGCCACAGATATGAAATTGTAGAGTGAACTGTATAGTGCCGTGGGAGTTGACAGAGGGCGGCGGGAATTGGGGACCAGGTGTCGATGATGTCCTCGCCCCGTGTACGTTCAGTATGTTTCTTCCATTTATCTGTCAGTCTCGGTGTTTCCTACATCGATGTCCTACGCGCCTGTGATTCTTTCACACCCTGTCGACTCACTCGCGGACGCGTGGCGACGGAAGATTCCTCGCAGTAGGTATTTGTTCGCCACTGCTAACACGTCATCGGTGCAACTTACAGTGATTGTTTGAGTGTTATATCGTAGCCTGGCGTTCAACGACCTCTGGTGGCCGCATGGTCTCGCCTATCCTCGCGTCCATATTCTCTTCCTGGGTTCATCGACAACACAGGACCTGCATACACCTGTCGCTCGTCGCCGGTCTACCTCCACGGTCGAACCGTCTGGAACGCCTTGCGACCTATGAAATCGAGAATATGTACCTCGATGTTGCCTCTGAGTGTATGTTGACAGCGAGAAAAGTGGAGAACACCTTCAACAAATGGAAAGTCAGCACAGGTCGGGGAAGCCGAGTCGGCGTGGATGCCTTCTGACAACGACCAGATCATGATGCAGGTTGAAAAGGCAGATTTCGTCAGTGCCATGGTGCGGAACTGTGGAGATGGTTGGCCCAAAATGTGTTTCCTTGCACCGGGTTACAATAGATCTTTGGCCTCTTGTATTGTCTGTGCTACTCCACACGCTCTCCACTCAACGCTCAACGCAATTCAATTTCCTCACGCGCGGAGAACTGCGCAACGAAATCTACGAACGGTGTCACCGTGTCTCGCGTGGGTGAACCAATCTGTGATGGTTGGCTTGTCCTATACGGCAAGCAGTAGCAGCAGCCTTCCGACGTGATGGCAACATGCATTGGGTTTGGTTACCCTGGATTGGCCTTGCAGAGATCCGATCTCGTCTACGGCAAACTTCCCTGAGAATCAGCTATCACCGCGAGTACCTTAGCAAAAAGCATGGAGGGCAGCGATGGAGCAGTGCTTCGCAGGAACGTGAAGCAGTGGACATCCGAGCGCGGTCGCCAGCATAGCGCGGGCTCTATTGTAGTGCAGGAAAATGTCGGGGGTCCTTCTTGCCTAGATCTTCCGTCCCGCGTGAACAATGCACAAGCTGGTTTGCCCAACCCTCCTACTTGTAGTTGTTGTCTCCTTCCGCTTTCAACAGAACATTCAGCAGTTCAGCAGTTCAAGAAGCTCATGCCGCGCTGACGTGCACAATGCGTCAGCGATAGCTGGCGTTTTTGAGAAAGAATCGCACCGAGCTTCCGTCGCCCAATAATAACACGGCAATGCGAAGGGCGTTCACTCCCTTCTCCGTCCACGACCACAAAACGCATGTCCCTGCGGAAAGGAGGAAGGACACGGTGCTCTCGTTACCCGCTTGAGCAGCTAGTGAAAGAGGTGTATTCCCAACGATATCGGTATGGTTCAGTGTTGATGGCGCCATGGAAAGCAACACTCGTACAGTCTGGTTCTCACAGTGAGCTGCGGCTAAATGAATAGCAAGCCAACCGCTCATCCTATGCCTTGGTCCTGGTTCCGCGCCAACATGATGCAATACGTGTAACATTTCAACCTGCGTTGTTTGCGTTGGTGTCCCGCAACAACTCCCACAGCACACCATCATTATCGGAGTGGTCCCTGGGATGTCGGTCGAGTTGGGGTTCGCCCCTCGTTGGACAAATCTCCCACACTACTGATAGTTTTGTTCAACCGCCCATGGGACACCCATGAGTCGCCCATGGGCTGGCCATGGGCCGCCCATGGCCGGCCCATGGCCAGCCCATGAAGTGGCCACCGTGGGCGCTTCAATCTAGAACCTCACCACATTCACATCAACCTAGAACTTTGCCACCAACGCCAACCTAGCAGGCATCGTGTGCGCTTGGGGTTAGGGTTATGCTTAGCGTTAGGGTTATTAGCCGCTGTAGTGCCCCGCTCCAAAGCATATTAGCTAGGGTTTAGGAGTACACTGGTTCGGTTGAAGGGCTCTCATTGGCCGCCCATGGACTTCCCATGGGTTGCCCATGGGCTGCCCATGGGCACGCTCATGGGCAGACCCTATGGGTTGCCCACGGGCATGCCCATGGATGACCCCTAGGTGAACCATGGTTGACGCATGAGTGACCCATGGGCAATAAAGTGCCCATGGGCCTAACGGGGTGCCCATGGGCGGCCCAAGGGCCACCCATGGGTCACCCATGGGTCACCCATGGGTCACCCATGGGATTCCGATGGGTCGTTTGGGAAAACCGTAGAAAGTGTGGGAGACCCTTGTTGGAGCAACACCAGCATGGCTTGCGCTTTGCCAAATACAGCCGCGATGTTCAAAGCCGTCTCGCAGCAGTACTCATCACTTTCGTTCTGACAAGTAGCCTTGATGATGTGGACGTAGCCATGAGTGGTACCGACCGCGATGGGAGGGACGTGTTCGTTGTCGTGGAGGATTCGCGTAGCACCTTCAGATGTCCATTCAAACAATGTATGCGGTTCACCCTCCCTGCGAACTGCAGTACATTTGCTTGAGATGAGTATTCCAAATAGTAGAAGGTACTGGGCAGAAGTCACAGAGTGGTGTGTGTTGTGAAGAATCCAGCAACCACCACCAACCATGGTGGAATATCCAGGATCTTCCTGGCTCGGCATTCGTCCCATTGGAAACCGACTAGACTAATCAGAAAACCACGGGCACTTCTCTACAGCTCATAGACTATTCATCATTTTTGAAACCATGATTGTACCCGCCGGAGGGACTTATGCTGAAGAAAACCAGTGGAGTTCCCTAGAAGATCAGCGTGCAAGAAGGGGTGCACACCTCTATGTTCCTGCCTATTCAAATTGGCGGGATGTTCAACAAGCGATCTTCCTGGTTGGTGCCACGCCCTTGGTGGACTGACGCAGAGGTCTTGAGCTTCGCCATGCTAACAGATTCGTTCGGCCGTAAAACCAGAGTTACTCGCATGCAGCGTCACCCGTCTGTGGTCATCGAACCGAAGCCCTAAGACAAATATATTCACTCTTTGTGACCATTCGTGTGAATATTCGTTGCGGTTTCATCCCACCTCTTTCTATCGTGGGGCTACAGCCGTTTCGTCAGTGGTCTTCCCAAAAGGATCCTTTGGTTGGTGAGCTTGTGCGCCCCCGCCACCACCACGGTACTCAACGGCCACTTAATTTCCCATTTGCTAGCTTGATTTATCTCAACGGGACCTTTCGAGACCATCGTCACGAAACACTGGCCGCCGAGAGAAAGGAAACGGGGGAACCTGATATTGTTTGGGCAGAGCTTTGATCTCGTCCCACGTGCCCACTGATGCCGATGTAAAGAACATGAGAGATGCGTCCTGCTTGTGAAACGATTCATTCACATTTCTACTGGTTGTCACAAGTTCTTCTTTTCTTTCCCGGAAATAGCTGACATTTCGCCAAATATGCTACAAGTGTTCGTCATAAAGTCGCTTCGGCGGTGAGGGGCTGTTAAGCACTGTAGTCGCATGGAACGCAGAATCAAGGCGCAAATAGGAAGCAAGAAAAGATGGGACTCGCCTAGCTGGGGGGCAATTTTTCGTTCTATCCCAACAACGTCTCCAGAACGCACATCAGAAAGGATGGTCAACGGCGAAGCTTGTATGCCGTCACCAAACAAGCTGTGCGGAATTCTCCCTCAATCCTAACCATGCCAACAGCACGCTGCTGTATAAGTGCGGAAGCTGCCCGTTGACCGCCCTCGTACTAAGAAATTTGATGGACTATTGTACATCCTCCCTACATGTAGGAGACAGCTCGATTGTTCCATCGAGAGGCAACTGAGAAACGAACACAACGAACATGAATCAATACTGCCTTAGATGTACAATGTTTCCTCGTAGATGCTGCGAAGGCCCTCGAGTGACAGCGTAGTGGACGAGAAGTGGGAAAAGTGTACTGCCGGTTCCTCCCGCCGAAGGTGAAGCTGTCGTATCACGACTGATCACCAACAAAAGAGAGGTCGGCCTTGCGAACATACCTTGGTACAATAGAACGTGGTCACACCAGTTTCGAGGGACGAGAAACAACTGTGGGAATATGCGCACGTGAGGGCGGGCAATGTTCATATCAAGAACGGTGCCAACGAAAAAAATAATATCCGCGGCGATGAAAGCTAGTAGCTGTTGTGGGCATGCGCGATGCTTGAATATGCCGACACGAATATTCTGCCTGTTTCTGATGTTGACATGTTGTCATTTAACCTGTCGAGGGTACCGTCGGCTTGCGAAGCAACATTGCCCGCCATAATTGTACGCCCACCATTCATGGCCTCTCCCTGTCTCCTCACCTGTCAAAGTTCTTGATGAAAAGTGATTCGTCCGTCGACCTGCGTGTCTGCGCCCTCACATACATGTTCGGCAATGGAATCGACGGAGACGGCGGCACCTTCGAAGCCGGCCGGGAGCGAACTCCACTGGAACGGGCCATGTCCATGATCGAGCACGAAATGCTGGTCCCTTCAGCAGCATTCGTCGGAAAAGCCTCCTCCTTGCCTATGTTCCTCTCGTTTTCGGGTAGGGTAGAACAGATTCGATCTCGTCTACAGCAAGCTTGCCTCGAGAATCAACTTTCTCCGCGACTGCCCCAGCAGATAGGAAAATAAGAAGGGCAGGGATGGAACAGTACTTGGCAGCGACATGAAGCATTGGACACCCGAGCACGGTCTCCACACCAGCGCGGGCTTCAGGGGAATTTCCGTGCAATATTGTCGAATTGGGTGCACACGGTTGGCCCAAACCTCTTGTTTCTTTTCTCCTTCCACGTTCAACAGAATTTCCAAGAAATTACCGCGTCCATGTTGCACCGACATCCGCATGATTTGAGTGATAGCTGGGAGTCCGCCAACGGCCTCCGTTTTTGAGCAAGACCCTCACCGAGCTTTCCTTCCCGTGTACCACGGCCATATCAAGAGCGTTCACTCCGTTTCGTCGCCCATACCAAAAAATCACTTGCCTCAGAAAATACGAGGAGCGACATCATGCTCTCTCGACCGTGTTTCGCAGCGATGGCAAGAGGTGTACTCGCTTCTTCGTTAGCATGGTTCAGTGTCAATGGCGCCTTGGAAAGAAGCAGTTCAACGACCTGGGTGTCGCACTGCGCTGCAGCAAAGTGAATGGCAAGACCACCACCCTCATTTTCGAGTGCCGGTTCCGCGCCAGCCTCCAGCAATGAATGCAGTATTGCCAACCGTGTCGAGATGTCCCATAACCCGGTTGACACGCCGTCACCATCATTGGAGTGACGCCTGTGCTGTCGGTGGAGTTGGGGTGTGCTCCTAGTTGGAGCAACACCAGTAGAGCGTCAGCATTACCCACGGCAGCCGCGATGTGCAAGGCCTTGAAGCCGTTGCGGTAGGGCCATTCGGAATTCCATTTCCACGCCACATCCATGTCGCTCCGACAAGTAGCAGAGACCAGAGATGAAGAAAATTTAACACACCACAACCATCGTGGAATTTTCTGGATCTTGATGGCGCGCGCGCGCTTGGCTTCATAACGTCCACAAGACACGCATGCGCTCTACGGAACATAAACTTTCACTTTTCATCATTTTTTGTTCTCGAAACATATGCATACGCCCCGAGGAAACATACCGCGTACAGACCGCAGCAGCAGTGGGATTCCCGACGTCAAGGGTCCGCACGTTCTCAAGACGAGCGCGCCTCTCTTCCCCTGCCCGATAATATCAGCGGCAACGCACCAGGCGATCCCCTGCCGAAAGCGCCCTGGGAGAGGCGACGCAGAGACTGAGCGAATTGTGTCTCGTCGCTGTGTTGACAAACTCAAAACGAATAGCTTTTCTTACGAGCGTGCAACCAGAGCCAACAAGACATTGAAGTACGTACACACCGTTGTTGGCATGCAAGTTACAGCACATCATAGCGGGGAAGTATCTTGCCTTAGGGCAAGTGCCATTTCAGGCAGGCGTGTACCCCGGACTCGCAACAGCAAGGCGACCCTTGGACTGCCCTCGTCTGGTTGAAACCCTGACACGATGGACATATGCAGTCCCCAGTGCCAGAAAAAATGAACCATGCGGAAAACAAACGGTGGTGGCCCTGGGACCGTTCCCAGAGAGTGAAATGAAATTGTGTCCCTCATGGAACGGAAGCAGAGAGTGATTTCCGTTCTGATATCTGCGGCGTGACGACAGGCACGGACGGAAACAGCGCTCTCGCCGATGAAACGTAATATATTGGGGAGCGACATCGGTGAATGTCTTGCCCCCCTGGCCAATCAGTTTCTCTTGGTACTTCGGTCGCACCCCTGTCCAAGAATTCCGGACTGCTGCGCCATCGCCCGAAACCTCATGGTACTTTCACACGCGTTACCAGGTAGCCATGCGCATGCACAAAATAGACAAGGGGGCCCACGGCAGGCGTGCCGCACAGATGAACCGATATTCTCGCATTCATTCCACATCGCTGGTCCTCAGCCATAGGGACAAGAACGCAGCGCCTTAGCTGAGGTCAGGATGATTCGCAAAACGTCACCAAAACGAGAACACACTAGCCGAGCGAACGTTTTCCGGTCAAGGCTTTCCCGAAAACAAATAAAACTTCGCGTGGAAGGAACATGCGACCTGCGTCTATCTACATCGCTGCGGCCTCCTCTCATGACTGTCACAACAAAATCGTCTCTGGTACTCTACACACGTTCAAATATACTCTACAAGGCTAGCGACGTTTCGTGCCACAAGCAAAAACCACGACACCTAGGGATTACCTCAACCAAAATACACTGTAAACAATTTCCAATCGAACCTTGCGATGAATTCCGCCACGGTCAAGGACCTCTTGCCGGAAGGGAAATCCCACTCAAGATGGCTCACAACAATCCTCCGTCTCACTCACATCGCCGTGATCGACGAAGATTCAAACGCTGAAACACAAACATCAGAATGAACCCGACGTGACAAATCCCAGCCATGCGCAAAGCGGGGGGGGACAGGCATACTCGCCCAACGAACGAAATTCGTTCCATGTCAAGTGACAGCGCTCGTCGCCGCTGAGTGGCCTGTCCATTGGGCTCCCCCTGCCACAATTGAGCGCTCCCCATCGGCTTCCTTCAAGTCTCGCTGACTTACGAATATTTCCGTAGCGTATGTCCCACAACACGGTGCGGCAACAGGTACCAAGAACAATAGCCATGGGTGCCTGGCGTTCACAGCTTCCACCAGGAAGAGGATTGCCGCTGCTGCTGGACTCTCTCTCGCGAAAGACGCAGCACTGCGGAAGCGACTCCCTCTGCGCTTCCACGTGTCCGACACTGCAGTCGCCACTGCCGGCGCGGGTCGAAGGCACGCTCCCCTTTCAGATCAACCACCACCTGTCCGAGTTTGTACACCGCAACCACCAGCACGGATTTCGATGATTGTTTAGGAGGCAAAGGAGGAGCAGCGGATAATACGAGTCTGGCCCGAAACACTCTTAAGCTGCTGCATTTCTAGCGTGTCAACATCAAACACGGTAAAGGCCGTGCAGTGACTGTCGCTCGGAACCGGTGCGTTCAAACACAACTCGTTGTTGGCTTTTTGTTTTCAGGTACGCGGTTGCCGTTCAACAATATCACACCTCGAAAACAACCATTCCAAACCAAACAAGAAACATAACAGCAACAGAGAGCAGTGACACTCATTGTTCCCCTCCCGTCCAAGAAAGTACTTCGATTTTCCTTTAACTGAAATACAAAGCAAGGTCGAAAACCGGTACTGCTGCGGCTGCTTAAATGCAAATGATGAGCGAAAGACATGGAAATTCAGCGTTGAGAACCAGCCCTTGCCTGCTCAGGTGCCGATTTCTCCTGCCGCACGTCGATGACATCTCCCAGGTCCACCGAGTCTACGCACGACATCTCCCTTAACTCGCTGCCACTACCGTCACCGCCATCGGCGACCGTCCACGACAGCCTGCGCCCATCTTCGCATATTTCCCCAGCTAGGCCTCCAAAGACGCTGTTGTTGTTGTTGCCACTGCTGTTACTGCTGCTGACGCGGCTGTGATCCTCGTCCATAAGCGCCAGCTGTCGGCAACGATTCAGTCGGTGGCGCGGGCGCATTAGAGGCGTGTTTGAATCCATCGCACAGGCATTTTTCATTACAACCAGTAGAAGTAGCAGCTGACACTCGCAACACGCAGAGCGGTGAATCACATCTCCCACTGCTTCGTTTGTTGGGGCCAACGTACAACTCTGCCACCTCAATATTTCCTACATGGCACTCGTTCCATTGGTTGCAAGTGACAAGGGAGCGTAGTGGCACAGCCTTCGTGACGGCCCGGGATAGGACCTCAGCATGCGGCCTCTTCACAAGAACAAGCCGAACGTCAAAAGGCAAACACGCAAAAGGGCAACACGGGCGTGCGCACAAGCCCGGAATGCAACCTGAAGGGGGGGGGGGGTTCGGCTGCTTGGTAAAGATTTAAGCAGTTAGGTTCAACAAAACTAAAGCACTTTCCCAACCATTTTTCTGGGAGGAAACGGCCAAACGAATCCAACACTGCTTGCTTGACGTGCCGACAACGACAAGAGCAACAGGAAAGCACGCACCTTCTCCTTTGTGGCGACGAGCGTGCGAGGAACCACAACCCACGGCCTCAACTCCCACCGCTGCACCAGCAGCTGGAACACCACCACCGTCCCTTCGTGGCCACCACCACCATCACCCACGTCGACGCCGCTTCGCACGAGCACGGAAGGGGGAGTCTCGACGACGTTTCTGCCTCTAACGGTAGGAGACGGGAGCGGAGTAACAGTCCCGGAGAGCGACGGAGGGGCACCAACCAAGTCCCAGGAGGCGGTATCGTGCGTTTCCGCCGCGTCGGCCCCCTCGCCCGCCCCTGCTACTTCGCTACTGTCGCCGTCACCTTCCCTACCACCTTGACCATTGCCGTCATCCATGACCGCACCGCCGCCGTGCACGGAGCCCAGCGCAACGCCACCACCCCTGCAGTCCTCGTCGCCTGCTGCGGCGGGCCCCAAGTCTTCGCCCCACTTCCCGAGCCTCCCGAAGAGCCCGGCGGTTTCGTGGCCAGGTAGGTCCGGCTCGATATTCGTCGAGAGCTGGGCCGCTTTCGACTCTCCCGCTGGCGTCGTCGCTCCAGCGGGGCTGAAAGCGGGAGGGGAAGCTTGACCGAGCTGCGACCGGCTTGTGGAGTGGCGAGCCGATGCGATGGTGCTCGGGGGGAGGGCTCGCGCGATAGCCTGAAGCGCGGGCAGTTTGAACGCGGGGTAGCCGTACGGCGGGAGGGATGGGGGCGTGGACACGACCCATCCGAAAGTCGCAGAGCATAGGTTATCGTACCGTAGTTGTGCGATGGATCAGGATCAGGAGGAACGTTGACGGTCCAAGGCCGACATAGTCCGCGGCGGAGCAAAATACAGAAAAAGGCAAGGACTATTTCACACAACAACAGTGGGCTCGTGGAATCGATACACCCAGGAGTTGCTACGTTATAGAAGACGTGCTGTGGCCTAGCTAAGCAGTGCGGCTCAAAGTGATTTGGTTGACATGGGAACGATAGGCTTTCAATCTCGAGTGACGAGTGACGAATGAGTGTAACGACGGAGAGGGCTGGAGCTCACCTCCAGCGTGGCCTCGTCGCGGTTTTCCACCACCATGGCAGGGAGTGATATCCTTCGCCTCGCCTTCGTCGACAGAGGCTCCAGCGTCTGCAAGAGGTTAAACGTGCGGGATCTGCAACGGGGACAGAGGCAAGAGAGAGCTGATAGCAGCACTTCTTTCGGCGGTTTGAACACCAGTTCAACAACACGGGATTAGGAAGATGGTGGGTGTGTGGGGGTATTTCATGTCATGCTCTTCGGCGAAAAAAGCAACAACAGAACCGGACTCCAACTAGGTCAGCGTATGTGCGAGAAAAATATTGGGAGCAGCATACAAACCGAGCATGTTATATTGTCAAGACGACGACCACAACTACAACAACATTCAGAACAACGTTTTTTTGCCACATCCAGGGAACGTGTCGCCAACTCCGCAGAATCTCACTTGTCCCTCGTCAGCAGGGCCACCGACACCGACACGGTCTCATCTCGGTGACCATCGTCGCTCCATCCTTCCTCCTGCTCGCCGACCGCCGAAGGGTCGAAGTGCATCTCCAGCTTTTGAAGACGGAAACCGATGGTCGTCCTCTCGAGGCAGGCGAGCGGTAGCACCATCAAGACCCTCGGACGCGGAGCCTGGAAAGGTTGCGCGTCGAATAGATCGAGCATTCTTGGTTCTTCCAATATTGGAACCTAACTCTGTGCTCCGTCGCTGCGCTACAAGCCATTCTATTCTTCATGTTTGGCGTCATCAACCGTTCGGAGCATCGTAGCATCGCACCATCTGCATACCAAAAAAGTATATATCCTGTTCTTGTTCTCTCCGAAAGAGTAGAGGTCTCGGTAACAACCAAGTAAAGGAGAAAAACGAAGGATCGCGTTGCCCTACGAAAGTACTGACGTCGACCTCGTCACGGAAACCGTACCACTGTGACGCAAGGATTTCCGAAACCGAGGCATCACAACTAACAGCACCGCACCGCGCTACACTTGCCGTTTTCGGGGTTGGCTAGTCACGCATCGCTACATCGTATAACTCTTCGTCGGCCTGTGGAACACAAACACGTGTGAAGGCATCGGCAGCACCTCGAACGCTGGCGTGCTGCGCACATCAAACATGACCTTCGCGCCCGCATTTCACAAAATCCCGGAGATGCCTAGCACGCAAGGGAATCTCGGAACACGCAAGCGCTTGATCATGAAAAGCGCACCACGGTACAGCAGAGGCACTGACGAAAGACAACCCCTAACGCTTGCACCATGCAGCCCTCACGAGGTTGCAGGAGGAAACGTAAACCAAAAGTTGACCCAGGCCAATCAACCCAGAAAACGCGCGCCAAAAGCGTACGGAGCCAGAGTCTGTATCCCAGCACCCACGCGTCCTTCACGGGGCAGCGCCGTGCTCTCACCGCGGAGAACTGCGTGCCGTCCTTGGCGAACCCCCCGTCGACGAAGAAGATCGACGACTCCGTCGCCACCACCACGCAAGCCACCTCGCCCTTCGGTACGGGTAATCGTGGAGGGCCCGAAAGAGACGACGGTAAGCGAGCGGCCGGAGGTCAGCAGGCACGGTCCACGGTTAAGGACGCGAGCACGTGTACGGCGGGTGCACCAGGGAAGATGGGCACCCCGGGGGGTCAGCTGCCCGCGAGGATGTCGACTGCTTCGGTCAAGGTGAAACAAAAGGCGTGATTATAAGAGCGCGGTTGTTTCCCACCTACTGGTTGCGACATGCAACCCACGTTGTTTGGCATTGAACCGAAAACCAACCACAAAGCCGCCAACAATATCAGCCACGACGACATGCAGCAACTCAGGACTCCACGCCCCATCGCCTCGTACCATGGTACCGGTAGAGTACCAGCCACAACCAAGTTACGCCCAAAAAATGCAGCAACGCACGATTGCACATCTCATTAGCTGTCAACTCACCATGGTGTAGCCCTCGGCCTCCCCGTCCACTCCTCTGCGGTGCACCTGCTGAACCATCCCCGTCGCTGCCAAGGCGTTCTCCATCGAACTCTCAAGACCGCTTCCGTGGTAGCTGTTGCTGCTCTCATCCGTCTTCGTCCTGCTAGCCCGCGTAGTGCGAGGATGCAACGGAAGCAAGCAATACTCGTGATTAAAGTGCTTATGTGCTCTCCTCTTCGTCGGTTTAACCGTTTCTGACATAGTGTTCCGCATGGATGGGTCAACGGTTTTGGCGGAATGCATGCCACATTGATGTATTACGTAACCGCCGCATTCGACGCGTTCACGGTACGGTACGACCAAAAAACAAAATATATCGAAACGAAAACTGCTGTCGAAGAGTGCATCGGAAGGCCAATACCACCGGAAGCACAAGCTTAGTGAGTTAAACACCTTCGAGACATACATGCGATCCTGGAAAGCCTTTGTAGATGGTCCATAGCACATACAGCAGGAGCAAGGTGCTCACACGTCTACCTCACCAGGCGAGCGACAAGCAAGCCGATGCCCGCAAACAGAACGAGCAACGTGGGACTGTGCAAGCACGCCTGCCCGCTCAATCCCTCAAACCTTCAAGCATGCCTACATACCCGCTCAAGCCTTCCGCCACACCGCCACCGCTGCCGCTGACTCCCCCGGCAACAGTAGGGGACGGAGAGGGTGCCCAGGAAGCCCGCAACCACGACCTCGCCGCCCTCTTCTCTTTCGTGGTTACCCGAAAGTGGTGGTGGTGGTGGCTGTGGTGGCGCTGGTTGCGGAGAGAGAGAGGGACGCAGGGTAGCGCCGTCTCCCTGAACATGGCAACCAGCTTCTTCTCCTGGCGGGTCTTGGACGCCTCTCGGTGGCGGTGCATGGCGCGGGGGAGGTCTTCGGGCTGCTGCCCGCCGCCGTCGCGCTCCTCGTCGTACAGGAGGTAAGGGGCGGCACCGCTGAAGACCTGGGAGCACGTGAGTGGGTGGTGGGTGAGGCGAGGCGACAGACAGAGCGCGGCGGGCAGCCGCGGGGGCGTCGTGATTGAGTATGGTCGTGTGAGAGTACAGCATGTCTACAACGCGGGATGATGAAAGCATGCGGTATTTATTGGCAAAAAGGCGCGACTTGCGAGGCCGGGTCGGCGCATCATGCGGCAAGCAACCGAAGGCAAAGGAACGGATTGGGAACTGGGGTCAATCCGTCGTCGAGCCTAAACCGCCATGCTTCCTCCTCAAGAGACAGCGAATTACGTACAGACGAGTGACACTCAAACGCGCACCATCCGCAATCGGTTGCATTACGTAGGTGGGTGGGGCGATCACTTTCTTATGACTAGTGTACTCCTGTGGCATATACCTGTTGTCGGAAGTACAGCTCCAGGTGCTCCGCCACCAGAAGCTCCGCGTAAGCTTCGTCCCCGCGGTAGCCACAGTCATGCTCGGCATCCTCGTCCTCCACCGAGCTGCTCCCCCTGGTTCCCCTCTCCTCTTCGCCGTTGACCCCGCCACAACCAGCTTCTTCCTCGTTTCCCTCCCCTACCTCCGCCCCTCCTTCGACCCCGCCCCCCTCCATGCCATTCTTCTCCTGCCGAACAGGATCAGCAGCACCCTTCCCAGAAGCGGCAGCCGCAGCAACAGCAGCAACGGCGGCTGCGCCGTCCGCGTCACTTGCCGCCTCCGAAGAGCCACGTTCTCCACCGTCACCACCACCGCTGACATCACCGTCCACCCCCGGCGGTCTGATCCCGCCTTCTTCTTGCCTCGCAGCCGCAAGCAAACGCAAGGGCGATCGCGAAGGCGACGGCAACGGGGAAGGGGACGGGAAAAACGGCGAAGCCCGACCGGCCGCCACTTCCCGGCCGCCGCCGCTGCGCGGCCTCCCCCGCCTCCCGGGCGAGAGATCCCACCCGGGCGCGGGGTTGACACCGACCGAAAAGACACCGGCGTTGCCGCTGCTCTCCACCGACTGTCCCCCCTCCGTCCCTCCGTTCGCCGACTTCGGCGAAGCATCACCACCTTGCCGACTGTCGTTTTCCCCGCCGCGTTGCCCACCGAAGTCGTCGGGACTGGAAGGCGAAGCAGCGGCGGCGGCGACGGCAAGATCGCCCCTACCGCCGTCCTCGGCCGTCGGGTGCAGCTCGCCGGATCCCTCACCCCTCTCCGGCAAAGCCTCCACCGCCGCCGCCGCCGCCGCCGCCGCCGGCACCACACCGCCATCACCACGCGCGAGCTCTGCCGCCCCCCAGGCCTCGCCCGCTGCCCCGCGCGGAGCGAGCCGGCCCATGTCGGCAGAACGCCGCTCGTTTCCGCTGCTGTCGCCACCCTCCACGGCGGCTGTGGCTGTGGTCGTGTCGCGGTCGTCGCACACCGCCTCCGGCACCACCTCCGGGTCGACAGCCGTCGACGCCGTCTCCCTGGGCTGGAGAAGAGGCTGCTGCTGGCCCTGAACGCGCATCGTTCACGAAAAAAAAAAAAAGAGCACACACAGGCGAGGAGGTGGAACGGACATCGTTCGACGTGGAACCTGCCAAACTTCGAGGCTGACTCACGAGAGTCTAAAAACCGAAACACGCCATCATCAGCGTACAACACGGATAAAGAGTGTCATAATGTTTCGGGGGAGTATGGGGGGCGGCGGAGTTCCGAGGTCCTGCCGGCGCGCTCACGGAGACGAGACCACGGCCTGTGATCTAGTGGGCCTCTGATCTGAAAATTGAAGCATGGCAAGTCCTCGAGACACGGGCCTGCGTCTTTCTGGCCTGATGCCCCCCCGCCCCGCCCCCCGCCCGAAAGCCAACACAGCAGTTATAAGATCAGATCAGAGCAAGGAAAGGAATCCAACGACGACCCTGATAAAGACCGGTTCCTGGCTCTCGTGCCGTCCGTCATTGGATCTTTTGCTCTTAGCTTGCAGGGTGGCAACTGTTCGCGGGGGGCGGGGGCTTGAGAGCATCCTAGGGGTAGGGTTACGGATGAGCTATGGAGCCACGAGGTATACGTACGCTCAAGAAGACAGTCAAACGAAGAGTGCCACAAGCGTGGATATTTCGTTCGGTACATCGATGAACGAAAGCAAGCCATTCCACACGAGAGTCAATCGTCTCTCTCACCCCTTCCGATGGCAACGGCACCGCGCTCAGGCCCAGCGAGAGCGCCGACAACGACGACGACAACTCCGCCGCCTCCGCGGCCGCCGCCGACGACCACGACGCCGTGCCGAGGCTCACCATCCGGTTGTTCCCTTCGCCACCCGCGCCCCCCCCCCACCCCCCCGCTCGCGCAGGCGCCGCCTCCTCAATCATCGCCGAGCGAGTACCGGAACGTCGTCGCCGTCGCGCCTGCTGATCTAAGGGGTCCTGTCCCGGCATGCCGGCGGCGGGGACCCCGTTATTACTCCGTCTCGCCGGGCGTCGCCGCCGCTGCGCCGCAGGAAGCCGCAGCGGCACGCAGGGAGACGGAGGGGGCAGGCGGGAGGCGGGCGGGGAGACGCTGAGCCTTCTTCGCGACGACGGGGACGAAGACGGCGAAGGGTCAGGCGCAGCTCGAGAAGCGGAGGCGGCGGAACTACCGACGGCTGGTTGGACGGCGGTGGCGGACAGTCTTCTTTTCCCCGTTCCTTCTGCTCGTCCGCGTGCGGCGACGACGCTGCCGGGGGCGTGCCGACGGGATGGCAAGCCGTCCCGAGATGATCCGTGTTCATCGCTGGACGGAAGGGCGCTGTCAGTAGCGGTTGGGAAGGGAACCTGCGAGCGGGGAAGGGGCGAAAGGGGGGTCATGCATGGCAAAGAAAAAATGACCCTTGACAGTTACGAACTGTTGATGTTGTTGTGTTCGTCCTATTTATTTTGGCGACAGTCACCCCAGTTTTCGTGATGAGACGTGCACTACACTTTTTAGTGCATGTAGAGTACTGTACTTTTTCGTACAACTACAACCATCCAGGGTCACACAGGAGGGGGTAAACTCCAGGGCTTTCTTTCATCCTTTTATCTATTTTCGTGCCCCACCTTCCTCCTGCGGTGCGTGCTGAATTTTATTCTTATCGCGAGAACGGTGCAGCCGTCCCTTTCCCTCGTCAACGGTGCTAACGTCGAAGATTGGCACTCGCGAGAGCTTTTTCAGCTATACTTCACTTTCACCCGCAAATTTGTAAATGTTTCACTCCATGGGTATTCGAAGTCACGACCTTTGCGACTAGCGGTTTACGAGGATACTAGACCACCGGTGCCACCGGTTCCCTGTCAGCAACAATCCCCAACCACTCACACACGAGCATCCATCGCCCAATGCCGCCAAAGAAAACCAGAGAAGCAGCAGCAGCAGCAGTGGGGGCAACAACAGCAGCAGTAGCAGTAATAGCGGCAGCGACTACAACAGAAGTCATGAACAAATCTCCCGCACCACCAGCGCTACAGACACTCCACGAAATCGACCAGCAGGCGGTGAACACCCCACATGAACACAAAACAAGAACCACAGTAGTTCAAAGAGACGAGACCGCCGCCAACTATTCTCACCTCCGCCGCTCTAGGGAAGCAAAGTTGCGACAGCTGCACCAGCTCCTTCCTCGACGGCAGCCGCCCGTCCAAAGCTATCCCTGTCTCACGCCCCGAGCCATCTCCCGAGCCGCCTGCGAACATAGTCGAAACCCTCCCCGCAGCCCCCTTCAGCTCGCCGCCCCACCCTTGGTACAAGAGGCTGAGCACAGACACGCGGTAGTCCTTCCCCTCCCTAACAACGCCCGGGAGAACGGAGGGCGACGCGTGTAGGTTAGGTGCTGGCATGCCGCTTTGGGTGGCGCGATGGACAAAATAACAACGGTGAACACCACGTCGCGTGGCGGATAAACGAAACACGTTACCGAACATCAACAGCACTTGCGAATTACAACAAGAGATCAACACACTCAATACTGTACACACGAAATAACACGGTCGTGCTAGACAACCAATCTCTACACCCTCACCCACGTCCATGTCACGTATGTACTCCTTATCCTACCCAATCCAGGCACTCACTCCGCTTCCACCGGGTTTCCATTCAGCCAGACGCGGCGCAACATCGGAAGCGTCGACAATCGCGCCGCCTCCTTCAGGTCTTCTATCCTGTTGTCGGACAAGTTCACGTCCTCGAGGGAGAACAGCTTCTCGAGGCCACTCGTTCTCTCGATAAGGTTGCCCCGCAGCTTGAGGGAGCGGAGGTTTCCCAAGACCGCGTGGATGTTCTCGACCGAGCTGCGTGTTTGGTGTGCGCGGTTTGAACGCGCGTTTGCCGGCAATTGTCGGCGGGCGGGGGTCGGAAGGAGGGGTAACGGGTGACTACGCAAAATAGATCACCTCCGGTGTGTACGAGTAGGGTCGGCACCCGCTGGACAGAAAACAGGATGATCACGAGGGTAGATAGTGGTTCTGTCCGAATGGCAACGGAAACCGCGGCAGTCTGTACAGAGAGTGGTATACCTTGTACCTCCCCCTCGAAACAAGGAAGGCATGGATGCACCCAATCAAGCACATGGTCAGCACGACAACACACATATCATCCTTCTGGCAAACGAAAGCTGCGGTCTCGTGACGCAGCAAACGCATCGATTGTCCGAAAGGAAACAATCCACAGGACAGCGAGGGAAGGGTCAAGAACTTCGCCATGTAGCCAACGCGTCTGCAGCCGCGGCACCATTGTGTCCCACTCACGTCAGGCGGTTGTGGCTCAGATCTAGCACCTCCAGTGAGCCGCAGTCTTGGAAGAAATCCACCCGGGAGAGCCGGTTGTGCGCCATTGATAACCGTCGCACCCTAGGGAGCAGGCGCAGCGAAGGGTCCAGCTCACGGAGCCCGCACTTGCAGATGCTGCGGTGACGGCACCCAGAGGGCACAACGAAAGACGCAAGGCATGGAGGCAACAGCAACACAATTGGGCTTCGATTTTCGCAAAACAAGAGCAGCAAGTCTGTTCAAGGGCGGGAAGGGAGAGCAACGCGCATCGTCCAAGGGTTGGGGCACCTTTTTCCCGTTTGGAAGAGAAGCAGCCGCGGCGACGCCGGGTGGTTGGTCTAGGAGGAATCGGGCGGGGCCGGTAAGCGTGCCCAAATATACCAGTCACGAGAGCAAGTAACGTCACTCTCGACACGCTCCCTAATGCAGTCCACAACCTCCCTTGCCACAAGAGGAGACAAAAGACGAAAATAAGGCGCCAACCACAAAAATGGAGTACGCACACCACCGCCCCCCGCATACCTCAACGACTCGAGGAGCGACCAGTGCAGCATCGGCGTGCCCATGCCGAGCCCCGATTGCAGCCGGCCCATCCCAGGCCATTCAGCCAAAGGCTTCGCGGGACGAGAGACACCCAACGCTTTTCTCGAACTCGCGACGCCACCAAGCGAACGAACTTGCTGTATCTTGCCACGTTTACAAGAAAGCCGATATCTATCGCTGTCCGCAGTGCGGGCACCAACAGGGGTGGAGTCTGAGCCATCTCGCTTGTTTACATCGCCACCCGAGTCGGCTATGGAAGGACCAGGCACCCCCCCATCGGCTGCCGTATCCAAAGCTGCGTGCCCCCCCTGCCCCCCTGGTGTATCCTGAGAGCCTGAAGCTGGCTCCGGGGGTGTCAGGAGCGCAAGGAGACTTGGCAAAAAGGCGTTCTCGAAGCTGAGGGACTTGAGCTGCAGGCGAAGCGCGAACAGGCCTGATTTTTGGGCAAAGGATTGGGTGGGCAAGGCGGTGTGTATGCGTGAGTGTTCACTGGGGTAACACAGAGGAAAGCACAGCTACGAAAAGAGGACTGGCATGTGCAAGCGAAACAGGTTGTCTCAAGTCATTGCCGCTCTCCACGGCGAAACGTCTTTCAATTTCTTTTTCACAACATGACACCTGCGTGGCGAACACAGAGACGGAAAAGCCCGGAGTCAGCCGACAGATCTCTCTCGCCCCTTCCCCACACTCCTCTCGCGAACACACGCAGACACCGGCCCTCCCGCTCGTACTAGCACCACGTTCAACACCATCTTGTCTAGCTAAATGCCTCCGCGCCCCTTTGATGGAACGTCAAACTACCACACTCTCTGGTCGAGCCATCACGATCTGTGACCGAACCCGCGTTGGCCAAACACGCCGGAGTCCATGCTGCTTCACCTTCGACGTGCTCCAGCGGAACCGCCTCCAGGCGCAACTCTTGCAACGCGGGGAACATCTGCAACTCCACCGGCTGCCCCCAGTTGGAGGCGCGCCGAGACGTGCCCCTGCCGTGCGCAAGCAAGTCGTGATGAAAGCAGGCAAGATAGGAGGGCAGCAGGGAAAGGGGTAGGGCCAATCATCGCGTCGCAAACGAACTCCGTTCTGATCGGCCGTTCCCTTCCACAGCACGATTGTGGCCAACTGGATGGAAATGCTAGATGCGCGATGGGCTGAATTCAGTCAAAAGTGTTGCGGGTGGTCATCTAGGGCAATACAGGGGTGAGAACGCAAACTCCCAACCTCGATCGCCACCGCAGAGAGTCCAAAACATCAATGTCACCTTCCCTAGAGAATGTCTGTGGGAGACGTCCGAGGGAACGATCACGGTGTACCCTACCGCGCGACCAACGAGCAACTCGGAGTGTGTGGCGTGAACTTGTAATTCGGAGTGTATAACGTGGTGGTCTTCGGCACCGAACTGGATTTGATCAATCTTCTGCGGCTACAGTTAACACAGAAGCGGACCCTAGCGTGCCAAAAAGAAGAGCGAAGCGAGAGTCATCATGGAAGACCGAGGCCACAAAAGCGCCTCCACGACCCCGTCACAGCAGCAGCACGCCCTACCGAGGTTCAGCCTGTTCAGAAACAAGCGGTTTCGACAGTTCGACCGCATCCACCCCGAGTTCCTTCACCCTCCTACGCCGTCGATCCCTTAGCCACAAACACACAAATAAAATAAAAAACGAGCAGAAAAACAGAAACTTCGGTATACACATGCATTTCTCTTCATCTGCTATCATGTCTGCTTTCAATCCGGCGAATAGCCGAGCCCCCCCCAGACCACGGCCTTTAGAGAAGCGTTTCCCGTTTTTCGCCGCAACGAGACTGACTCCTTTCCATTGGTCTGCCGCCCGGCGAGGACGACGCCACTAAACACAAAAACAAATTGAACACCTGTGGACCCGAAGCGCGGTGGCGTCCCTCGCCAGCCGGAACAGCTTCCACACCAGCGCGGCCTCGTGACGCCCCACGGGGGGCGCCGGGAGCAGCAGGCGAGAGCGTCGCTGCCGACCGTCGCCGTCGACGCCGTCGTCGAAGTACGCCATCACGCCCCCTCCCGGAGCGTACGAGTAGTAGCCGCCCCCGGCTCCAGTGCCCCCTTCGACGGAGAGAGAGGACCGCCCGCTGCTCTGCCGTTGAGGCCGCCTCCCGCCCACCCCGGCCCCGCCTTCGGAGAAGGCGTACGGAGAATCTACGGAGAGGCCCTGGCTGCCTCGCGTTAGGAACCCGCCCCTTTGGAGGGCGCGTTGCAGGGCCTGAACCGCCGGTATGTCCAGCTGGACCATCCTGCCGCCGCTTTCATCGTCGTCGTCGTCGCTGTTCCCGAAGCCATTGGAAAGCCCAGCGATGGTAGTGGCAATGACAGCAGGGGTAGCCGTGTGGGAGGAGGCTTGGGTTGTTGGGGGAACGGGCGAAGGGTTCCCAAGCGCCTCGGCGAGAATCTGGGAGAATGAAAGGTAGGAGATGCGGTCCGGCGTCACGCCGCGGGGACGTACAATGAAGCACGAAACACCGCACAGCAGAGCACAGCAAAGCCAAACGCAGCGCACCACGGCGAAGCGCGACACACCGCAGGGCAGAGCACAGCACAGCAGAGCACAGCACAGCAAACGGAGAAGGGCAGCGACGGAAACCAGAGCACGTCACAAATCAAGGCGGTGTGTTTCATGCTGTTTTCTTCGGCAGGGAGGGAGGGTTGACAGGTGAAGTCTGATGGCTTGGAGTGCTGCAGCATTCTTCTCACAGAGTTTTTCGACCAAGGCCGACCAATGGAGTGCGCCGGGTTCGGCCAACCACGGCATGGGGGCCTGACTGCACCCTACAAGAAGAGTTGCAGTCAACGACGGGGATGCATGAACACACCAAACACGTCATTGTTCCAAGAACAGACAGGGTTCAGAATGGTGCGTGATCGGGCGCATACAGGTTTCCCTTCAGCCAATCATAGCGGACGCGAAATGTGCGTCGGCCCGCGCGCTGCGGCGACGTGATTTTCCAGCTTCTCACCTCAAGCTCGGCCAACTCGGCCTCCGCCCAAGCGTCGTCCTGCAGCACTGCATCCCTGACCTCCGCCGCTCCCAACCCCAAAACGCTGGAAAGTCTCGACGACAGAGAAGCTTCCCCTTCGTTGGAGCCGGCCACAAGCGGTGTAGAAGATGATGTTGTTGTTGGTGATGTTCTTGGTGTTACGGTTGGTATAGCCGCCGGGCTTGTCGCGCCCATGGCGAGATCGAAGCCGCCGCCGCCGCCATCGATAGGCGTGGACAGCCACATCCATGGTGTCGAGATCGACAGCGTGAGAGGGGGTGGTCTAGGCGACGGGGCCGTCGTTGGCGTCCCTGTTGATGGCGCCGCCTTTTCGGGCCGAGGGGCTTCCTTCTTCTTCGAGAAGACCGGCAGGAGCCATGCCCAGGTGTCATCGCCGACGTCGAAGCCGCTGGGGTCGAAGTCGCTGATGTTACGTTACCGTACACATGGTCGCGTCGCACCCCGTGGGGTTTATTTCGTGGGATGGGGGGGGTGGTGGTCGGGGAAGGAAAATTTCATCGGGTACGTAGCAACAGGAGCGCCATGCCTAGGCAGAGGGTCATTCAAAGAGAGGGCTTTGGATACTGGCGGAGCCATACAGTCGACTCCATCCTTTCAGTAGATTAGTGACGCGGCCAAGCCTTGGTTTCGATGAAGAAGTTGCGACCACGGCCCCGTTCCGTGGAGTGGCTGGCACAGACCCAGGCGGCCCCGCAGGGCCGCATTGAGGCTCCCCGCCACCTTACTCTCTCAGCATATACATACATCTGTGCGCGAGTTGGCATCACAAAAGTTTCCCATTATACATGTACTGTGTTAAACGGCGTTAACACGCTTCATACCTTCCACAGAGAATAAGGTGTGTTCCCCCAGCCACCGCAGCAGCACGATAGCGAACGTACGTCTTTCGACTTGTCGCTTGGGCTCGAAACACAACCGATGGCGGTCTGCAACGGGATTCTACCGACGGGAGGTACTTCAATAGACTACACAGCATCCTCAACAACCGGCAATTGTTTTCGTACCGGCTGTTTTTTTCTGATACTCGGAACTAGCAATAGGCACGAGAGATAGACTGGTAGAGCCCCTTTTTCACCCGCTTGACCACCGCGGCACGGCGGTATTCGCGGCACGTGTTCGTGCCGAACCGATGGACAGCATAACCGATCCCGTGAAAGCTACCATCCTGGGTCAAATATATAACTCCTCTGCCCGGTGTTTTCCTTAAAGTTGTCACGCGAGAAGGGTTCAGGTATCTCGAGTGCACTCACGAGCAATGAGCTTTCCACCACGTTTGAGGTACATCGTTACGTGCGTGTGTTCCAAGAAAATAAACCGAGTTCCAACGTCCAACCCACACACTGGCTCCACCGAACGTATTTGGTACATTTGGACCCTATGCGCATATGATTGCCTAACACTCCGCATATTTGTGCCGAGTGCTTGGCACCAAATCGTGGTACGTACGAGGTACAGACACAGCAGAATCCCCGTGCATCGACATGTTGACATCTTTGCGGCGGTGGCAGCGGCAGCGATGATCGTACAGAGTAATATGCAGCGCGAGCGGACACGGTGTCACAAGTCACATTAGCATACATGGCAAGACACGTACTGTAGGTGTACCTCGAACTTCAAGCAAGGGCCATCGCATGCACCTTGTCATCCTCGACCGCTCTCACCTGCTCAACAGTGAGGTCAACATGCCGCCTCAGAGGTAACAGCAGTCCGTCACACACGTGCCACCCCTAGGCGAGTCCCCGGCTGCCAGCGCTGGTAGGTCTGGCACTGCAAGTAAGTGCTGCCGACACACGTGCGGTGTGCTTCAACACTCTGTTCGTGTTATGCTCTCCCTCTCTCGCTGCAGGCATAGGTCCGCTTGTCGTGCCTAAAGCTTGGTGGGCACTCACTCCCTGTCCCCTCTCTTGGTCGACAACGGGTCAAAGCTGTCTGTGTGCGCTGAACCGGCGTGCGGTGTCTGGAGTGTACTCTGGTACATACGTGTACGCACGTCAGGGGGTGCAAGGGTACAGAAGTCTGCGCGTGTCTCCACGGAGCCCCCACCGCTCGAAAAAAAAAAATGACGTTTGTGACGTTGTTTCATTATTACAGCAGTACATACGTGTTTCATGTGTCAAGTTCAAAACACGGTGGTGTGCTATTGAAGCGCATCGAACACCATCCAACACCAGTTCACCACGGCCGGTTAAAAACAGACAAGGAGGTAACCTCCTCACGGACGCAGTCCCCTGGATTTCGGGAAGTAGGACGGGGGATCCAACGGCTGCAAGACCAGATACCGTTTCCTCGCCAGCACCCAGCAGTAGACCAGTCTACAGTGTAGGTCTCGGTATCGTCTACCAGTGTAGATCTATCATGCGAAGTACATGGTTTGTAGTAGCATCCACGACATAGTGTATAATTAGTTCATACCCCTTTGAGAGCACAGCTTGCTGCGATCTCTGATGGCGACAGCCGCGTGCCTCTCTCGCACACACCGATTCGCTCTACTGTGACGCAATTGTGAAAGGATGGGTGTGGTGCGGTTGTTGTGGACTGAAATGGGCGGAAACGGGCTGAGAAACAGCAATACTTGTAGACTATGCACGCTTGAATACTTTCTAACGCTCTCACACTTGAGTGGGTACATGCCGCTTTGCAGCTCCCGCTGCACACAATGACTTTCACGCTGCGTTTATTCCAGGATATCAACACAATGCATAAACGGCATGCATGATCATCAAGCCGGCCGCGCAGCCGCCCTCACAAATTCGTTCCTAACTTTCTTCGAGCGTTGGCGTGAAGGGAGTTCGACTTGACTCGCGATGGGTGTCAGCACGTCGGGCAACGAGCACGACGGCGGAGGAAGGGCACCATGACAATATCAGGTTGCGTCGTCCGTCTGTTCGAGTCGCTTGGTGGCTCAATACAATGTAGCCCGGTCGTCCTCGGGCATTAGTCTATCGGCTGTGATGTGGCCAGATTCTCGCGGGCTTGAGCTCCTTTGGCATCCATTGGGGGTGGTTTGTAATGGTTGAAAGACGGTGACTGTGAATACGGCCTCGCGAGTTTGTCCTTGCGCAGACGAACAGTTATTGAGAGAGTTCGGGTGCATTGGAGTGTAGCTCCTGGAGGAATCGCTTGATGAGGAAGGGAGTCGGGGGGCGAAATGGGCCACTCCCGCTCCGTGACCTTCTCAAAATGCTTCACCCGCTTTGGTCAACCTCGAAAGTGTGTCTGGAAATTACCGTGTTTTTTCCTTCCAACGTGGAGCGGGTGCTTCCCGTGAGCCGGAGCTCAACGGACTCGCGGTGCCGCACGTTACGCCCATCCCCGCCCTGGAACACACGGCAAGGAAGGGTGCCTCGGAAACGCATCATATGGCTTATTTGGCTCCTCATGGACCTGTCGCATGCTGCCTACACCACCTCGAACTCGCCGTGACCTCTGCATAGGGGCGGGCCTCGAATCTGTATCCGAGCTTTCGCTGGCCTTCAGAGACATGAACACACCCTCGACAATCACCACGCGATGAAGAAATCGAACCGGTGCGGGCGACCATGGTGCCTCCGACAAGGAACAGTTGTTTGCGGCTTTATATCGATCTTGAAATGGTAGGCAAGGTAATGAGACCGTTTTGAGCCCCATTCCCCTGGGCTTCCGTTCTGCACACGACATTCATGAGGTACACGAGGTCTCCCGTACTCTCTGTTCCACGACTCGCCTCCGCTACGCTCCCCGACGTTCCTTTGCCTCGTGTGTCGAGGTTCGGGAGAGGAAACATAGAACTTACGGCATCATGTCTCGCGCGTGCGGAACAACATGCCTGGCTAGCCCCAACGTGTTGCGTGTTGGAAACGTGTGTCGTGGTTTCGCATCGTTCACTCTCTCTGTTACTGGTGTCCCTGATCTCCCTCCGCACCATCTCTTGTTCGCGTGTTTCTAATGCCCGTGATGCACCACCGAGCAGCTTGGCTTGACGTCCACGAGTTTCGTACAGACGACGCTCGGCTCCGCGCGTGAGGCTCTTCGTCCCCCTCCTTGCGAACACCTTTGAGTTTGTCGAGGCGAACGATGCCTACGCAGCGGCCGTCCAAGGTCCTGCGTCCTCGTGGTAGATGTTGACCGCCTGACACGTTTCTGGGACAATGCCATTCCAAAGGAAAGCCCTTTCGAATATCCCACCTAATTGAACCAGGGGCACTGTTTTGTGTGGTGTGTCGTAAACACCTGCATACTGAAACCCCAGTGGTCTTGGCGGTATTGCTGGTCTGGTGTTTTGAAGGTGATGGTCGTTCCAGTGAAACACCTCGCACCGTGTTGTTTTCACTCTCATGCGGAGGCGGCAAAGATTTAACATCCGAGCAAACAACAACGAGGACAATCTGCACGGGTGCGGCAAATTGGTGCGGGAATGACAGACCGACGCGCCTCGGGGATTCTCTGAACGAGTCCGGAATTTTTCATTGGCATGTACGAAGTTCGTTCCAAGCATGCAAACGTTGGACCACAAGGCGTCAGCTGTTGTCTTCAAAGTTTCAGACCCCAGTACAACTGTTGAGGTGGAGGTTTGGTGCAGCAGTTTGCGTTACTTCGATGAAGGTTCACCTGAATGGCCGCCATTTTCGAAGAGCAAATGCACAAGAGTAGAGCATCGACCGTTGTTCTCCAATCGTCTGGGTATACAGGTTGAGAACGAGGAGCGAACCCCACTGATGACTCCCCCTTTTGTACGCAACCATACTGGGCCATTTCGTTCTGGCCAAGGCAGTACTGTAGTACAAAGGCTCCTCTTACAGCATGCAAGCCGGGAACGTGATCAAGGTGTTTTTCATGTGTTGGTGATGTTGTTTTGACTACCGCCGGAACGCGTATACCCCCACAACTTCGACCCGTCAGCTGTTTTGACAATATTTTCTCGAAAACGGTAACCGATAAATACCTCATCATTGGCCTGCCACCACTACATGATGAGGCAAAAAAATGCAACTGACCCCCCCGGTCGGATCAAAACGCTGACGGCCATGGAAATACCATCAGCTGTTTCCCTCCTCATGCCTCCCTTTGTCCTGCCGTACTGGAGCTACATGTCGTTGTGCAGGCACGTCGCCTTGCAAAAGAACCGCCAATATTTTTGTAGAATGCAGGAGGGGGCAACCGACAGGAATCAAGATGCCAACAAAACTCGCTTGGGAGCTGGGTTTTTCTCAATGACCGGATAATACTCTCCAGGAACGAAAAGGTCGAGGACAACGATTTCTTTGGCGCAGCGCCTGCGTCGTCACCGAGCGCGCTGTGGGGAATCTCCATGAGCCAAACACGCCGACATGTTCCTGAATGAGTTCCCGCAGAAGCAGCCGACTGAGAACATGATCACGGTATGAAAATAGTAAAGAAGCACGTTCTCCCGTGATTGCCCCGAACCCTTTCATTCGACCGCTTCATGGCACCATCGAGGGGAACACAACAACGAATGAATATGGAAAATATTTTTTCATGATGCTCCGTCTACACTAAATAAGCGCCTTACTCGTCCGTTCATGCTGCAAGGGCCTTCGATCGTCCAGAACATGGTTAGGGCACACATTGGGCAATCAACGTGTACCAGTCGGCATACCCAGCTACGTCGGTGAAGTTGTCGCATCACGAATATCCAATGAGCGGGAGATCGACCTTCCGAACATACCTTGCATTGAACGTGGTCACGCCAGAATGGAGGGATGGGAGGGAGGTGTGGAACACTGCATATGGACATGAGAAATGGCGGTGGTACATTTGGGGTACGGCGGTGAGTGAACGAAAGGTATCGCTCCTTGTACTCGACGGTAACAATTTGCGTTTTTATGGGTACGTACGTGGCACGACCGATTGCGAGTGACGAGTGTTTCAGTCTGTCAAAAATGTTGGACACCATTTCTGTCGAGAAATATTCATGACTACCAACTATAATAGCCGACACCAAGGGCGGCGAGTGACATCAAGCGAAATATAGGTTGCACTGATGGATGGTAGCGCTGGCAAGGGGAATCACCCTCCTCGGAAGTGAAAGTGCCGAGGCACACGAACTCCACGACAAACTGCAACTGAAGCCGATATCCACCATTGGACTACTCAGCAACCTTACCAGCGCTACTATCAGTCCAATCTATATTTCGCTTCATATCAAGCGCCACCCACGTCTAGCAGAAAGTTCTAAGGTCTCAGACGAGTCTTTCCGCCACCCATACTCTGGCCGCGAGTATCCAGGGTCTCAGGAAAACATCCCCTCAAAGTCTACAGCCTGGGTCTCGAACCGACGACTAACATTTACAGAAATCGAACAAACCATTAGACAAGTCAGCTGAACTAGTCAGCGCTGATTAGTCTAATGGTTTGATGTCGCCTTCCTTACAATCCGGCCGGCCGACGACTCTGCGGCCACCGTATGTGACCCTTGCTGATGTCCAGCGTGTTGCCCAAAGACTTCAACACCTGCCCCCCCCATGCATGCGTGTCTTCAGCACTGGAGTTGAAGACGATGGAGGCACTTTTGAAGCTCCGCCGAGAGTAGCATCCACCGCACCGGGCCATGCCCATGATCGAGCGCGGAACACCGGTCCCTTCCGCAGTATTCTTCGAACGGCCGCCTCTATGCTTCCGTTCCTCTTGTCATCGGGCACAAGAGATGCGATGTGGTCGACGGCAAGCTTGCCTTAAAAGTCGCATGTTTCGGGTATTGCGCCAGCGGAGAGAAGAACATGAAGGGCAGGGATAGAGTAATGCTTGGCTGCGTAATGAAGAATTGGGTACCACTCGCACAGGATCGCCGTGATAGAGAATGGAACGCTGCCCAGAAGTGAATCGTCTTGCACACCGAAGACATAATGCTTCGCCCAAAACTCTTGTTTCTTTTCCCCGTGCACGTTCAGCAGCATCTCCAAACCATCAATGCACCCAAACCACACTGAAATGCGTATCGCTTCAGCGATACCTGGTAATCCACCGACGGCATCCAGTCCATTTTCGAGCAAGAACCGCACCGAGGTTCCCATGCCAACAATTACGGCCTTATGAAGAGCGGTGATTCCAGTCGTCGCCCATGGCAACGAATCACTTGCCCCCTCAGAAAACAAGAGAGACATTGTGCTCTCGTTACCCTTTTCCGCAGCTGCTGCAAGAGGTGTCAAACCATTATGAGTGGCATTGTTCAGTGTCGATGGTGCCATGGAAAGAAGCAGTGCAACAACCTGGGCGTCACATCGGCCAGCTGCAATATGAATGGCAAGGCCACCGAGCTCATTTTCGACGGCCAGGTCCGCACCAGCCTTCAGCAGGGAACGCATCATTGTCAACTTCGTTGATGTCACACTACCCGTGCCACACGTCACCATAATCGGAGTGCCGCCATCGCTGTCGGTTGCGTTCGGGTTTGCTCCTAGTTGGAGCAACACCAGTAAGGCTCCCGCATTGCCCACGGCGGGCGCGATGTACAAGGCCGTGAAGCCGTTGCGGTAGGACCACTCGGGATTCCCTTTCCATGCTCCATCCTTGTCGCTCCAACAGGGAGCCTCGGTATCTGCTCCCGTTGCGACGAGAGCCTTGATAATATCGATGAGGCCGTAGTCGGTGGCGACCGCGATGGGGCGGACGACTGCATCTCCGAAGTCGTGGACGCTTGCTCCTTCCTCTAGCATGCGTACAACGTCCGTCAGACAACCTTGCTTGATTGCAATCTCCAGCCCCGATGCCCTTGCCCTGCAATCCGTTGTGTGGGGAACCAGGCTTGTCTTGTGTATCAGGGACCGGGCTTGTTTGGGTGCCTCTTCATGAGTCTTGTGTCACAGAGGGGACTGAAGAATTTCACCCCGGGCTGACCGGCAAGCGGCGCAATAGGCCGGGGGTCCCCTCTGCGATTTCACTTTTTTTAATTTTCTGGATCGGTACTGCTGTAGACATTTTCTTGAAAAATAACCCAAAGTCATAATCTCCATGCCTCAGCTATCAGTAAAACGCGAAGTACATGCATTATTTTCTTTGTGCGACATTTGGCTTTCACAGCCGAATGACGAGGCGGTTGTCTGGACTTTCGGCGATATCCAATGAGAAGTACAAGCTGGGCCAGCCAAGAAGCCAACAAAATGGTTGGTAGCGATTTCCGAGCCGGTTTTTACGAACTAGAACCTGAAATTTTGATATGTGATTGGAAACGGTCTTCCAAATGCCCCCGAAGGAGGTGCGTTTTTTTTTATGTGAGGTATCCCTATTTTCAATAACTAAGGTATCCCTATATTTAATAACTGAGAATCCCAATATAGGTTTTGTGGCATAAAAAAAACAAAAAGCGCACCTTCTTCGGGGGCATTTGTAAGACCGTTTCCAATCACATATCGAAATTTCAGGTTCTAGTTCGTAAAAACCGGCTCGGAAATCGCGATATCCTCACTTTCCCTCATGTTGTATAGGATCTTTTTCGAGGCCATAATGTTTGATGGAAGATGACCTTAGCCTTGTAACTACCATCATTGTTCTCGCAATGCTCCCAGGTAGTAAGTGCACACCAATTTTCGGCTTAATCTGTAAAGCGTTTTTTATTACCGGAACCATCCCCCACTTCACCGTCAATTGAGCATTCAATACCCAAATCAACTCAGATTCGAAAAATTCTGGCACCGGCGCATCCTCGATTGTCTTCTAAGAGTAGCCACAAAATGTCAAGCCTAAACTCGTGGAATTGGCAGCGTGAGACGCGAAACAACGAAAGTGAGCTTCTTGGCTGGCCCAGCTTGTACATGCAATACATTGTTTGTGTGACACTTGGCTTTCACAGCCGAATGACGAGACGGTTGTCTGGACTTCCGGCGATATCCATCAGTTGTAGGTGCTCACTTGGCAGACCTCGCGGGCTACTGGGTTCATCCTCCCACCTCTAATGAATTCATACAAATATCGATCAAGTTTCACCGACGTGCTGCGGGGTCTCGGATTGTCGATGTGGTTCGGTGTTGTCGGATTATTTGGTTTGATACATCGGGATTTTCTCTCACTCTCGCTCGGTTTCCTTCGTCGCACATGTATGGTACACCCTCTTTGGGTAGTTGACCTGCGACGACGACCATGGCAGGCGCTCGCATCAGTCGGCCTTTGTAGGAGGTCGAGAGTGGTAAACGGAGATCAGCCAGACACCGTGGTTTGTTGTTGTGAAGAAACCAACCATGACAACAACCACGGTGAAAAATTTCGTGGAACTTTTGTGCTGGCTCGATTCGTTTGCTCCGCAGCGTCCAGGTTGGGGAGCATTTTTTCTGCAGCGTTGCGAACAACTCTGCCAACTATCTTCTCTGTCAAAGCTCTTAGTGGTGCTTTGAGAAGCTCTGTCTGGCCCGAAAGTATTCTGAAATCTAGTGTACATGTCCAGTTACACCGTCATCGATCGAGTTTCCCTGGTTTTCCGGTGCGAAAGGACACACACACACTGAAAATTCCATCGGAACAACAAACAAACGTAACTCAAACTGAATTCTGAACGTTGGACAGGGAAACATACATGATATTCGGGCGTGTACCCCGGAAGCCCGCAAGAATTTGCGGGTCCACGCGTGTACAATATCCAACCAGTGCGACCCCGTCTTCTCGAGGTGGCCGCCACATGTATAGCATTAGGACCGTGCGCACCTTGGCGAATAGTCAAATACGCCGTGTGTTGCGACAATTCGAGGTACGACTACTGTGGAGGCGGACGTTACGTGGAGCATTGTGCGTGTGAAGTGTGTGCTCGACAACCCTTGGCTAACTTCACGTTTATCACCGCCGTTGACAAACAACAAAAACAAGAGTACTGTAGATCATCGGCCCAAGAGAAGGCCATTGGTCATTGCTCCATACTCGTCCGGGCACCCTTTGAGGACGAGAAGGAACAACTCCCGGAATCCCCCTGTCCACATCCATTCATCATTCTTCACACCAGTGATCGCCTGTTGTGGCTTTTCGTTCCCGCTAGACAACAGTTGTAACTTTCCTTCTGTGCAACCAAGGTACGTGATCGAGTAAATTTGCATGCGTTGATTTTTTTTCCGGTATCACCGCGATGTAACGCCCATCCAAGGATCCCGCTACCTGTCCACCTTTTGGACAAACACCTATCCCACCATAACATTCATTTCCTGAATCTAATCATGGGCCGTCCACCAACGCATTTGCAGGCCAGAATCATCGATCTGAGCCCCCCCGCGGTCGTACACAAGCACTGACGGCCATGGAAATTTCATGCGTGATCTCCATACGCTCATGACTTAGTATGTCGTTCTGCAAACACATCGCCTGGAAAACGAACGTACCACAAAGACCAAGTAGAATGAAGGAGACACCCGACAGGAATCAGAGGTGCCTACCAACTCGCTCGGGAGCTGGCATTCTTCAATGTATGGAACTACAGAAACCTCTCCGGATAAGGCCCCGTACAACTACTCTTCGGCGCAGCGCCGACGTTCGTCACCGAGTACACTGTGTGGAATCTCCCTGAGCCCACACCCTCCATGTTTTCCGAATGACACTCCTCCGGATGCTGATGACTGAGCTTCATCATAGTATACAAAGAGTAATGAAGTACGGTCCCTCCAGGTTGCCACGAACCGCTATATTTGACCGCTTCATGGCTCCATCGAGGGAACCTAAACAACGAATGAATATGGAATGTCTCATACCTGATGCTCTGTCTAAGTGCTACAGTATCCCGGTGATCCTGCAACGCATCTCGATCGTCTAGAACGTCGTACAGGACACAACATGGGGGGGGGTGTACTCATAGTCGTTCATGCCGTAGTCGTTAGACCATTGACCTCGCATCCCTACAAAGCCGGGACGGGTACGCCGGGTTCTCACCGGACCAGGCTCTCACATCACCAAGCGCGAAGCGCCGTGAGGTGTTCGGCGAGTCGCATGAAGGGTGCGCTGCATCCTGCTAACGGTGCATGGGGGTGGGCAAATTGTGTACTGTGTACAGTCGCCTTTCTCGCTGCAGGTAGGTGGATGAAGTTGTCGTATCACAAATATCCAATGATTTGGAGATCGATCTTGCGAACATACCTTGCATTGAACGTGGTCACACCAGAATGGAGGGACGAAACGGACGTGCGGTACACAGCATATGAACATGAAAGTGGCGTAATACTCGGCGTACGGTCATGAGTGAGCGACAGGTACCGCTGCTTGTACGCGACGGTCACGAAAGAAAGTGTTGTGGGTACGCGCCACGCCCGATTGCGAGCAACGAGTGTTTCAGGCTGTCGATAATGTTGGACATTTGTTTGATGTCCCGTCGACAACCAACATGTTACGTGACCACCAACCTAGCGGGCCGACTCTACGCCCACCGCATGTGCCCCTCACCAGTCAAAGCTCCTGCTGATGTCCAGCCTTTCGCCCATAGCCTTGAACAACTGCCCCCCCATATGCACACTTGTCTTCAGAACCGGACCTGAAGATTGCGAAGTTGCTTTCGAAGGTCCGCCGAGAGTAAGATCCGTCGTGCCGGGCCACGCCCATGATCGAGCACGGAACGCCGGTCCCTTCTGCAGGATCCTTCGAACGGCTTCCTCCGTGCTTCCGTTCCGGTTATCATCGGGCAGCAGAGGTCCAATTTGGTCTATGGCAAGTTTGCCGTTAGTATCAGTATTTTCGTGTCTGCCCCAGCCGCGAGAAGAACATGAACGGCAGGAATAGAGCAACACTTGGCAGCGACATGAAGAATCGGATACCAGTCGAACTTGGTCGGCATGGTAGGAACGCTGCACAGAAGTGAATCGGCGAGCGAAGGGCTGACATACTGGTTCGCCCAAACCCCTTGCTTCTCTTCCTCTTCCACGTTCAATAGCATCTCCAGAATATCAATGTGTCCATACTTCACCGAAACGCCCATCGCTCAGCCGATAGCTGGAATCCGCCAACGGCATCCAATCCGTTTTCGAGCAAGAACCGCACCGAGCGTATCTTGCCGGACCGCACGGCCCCGTGAAAAGCTGTCACTCCCTTGGTCGCCCGTACCAATGAATCACTTGCCCCCGCAGAGAGCAGGAGACACATTGTGCTCTCTCTGCCCCCATCCGCTGCTGCTGCAAGTGGTGTCCAGCCGAAGTGGGTGGCATGGTTCAGTGTTGATGGTGCCTTGGAAAGAAGCAATTGAACAACCTGGGTGTCACATCGAGCTGCAGCGAAGTGAATTGCAAGGCCACCGTCCTCATCTTCCAGTGCCGGATCCGCACCAGCCAGCAATGCGTGCAGTATTTCCAACAGCGTGGGCGTCGACATCACGGAACCAAGTCTTCTACACGCGATCATCATCGGGGTTGTGCCGTTGCAGTCGATCGAGTTGGGGTTTGCTCCTCTAGTTGGAGTAGGACCAGCAAAGCTTGCGCATTGCCCACGGCAGCCGCAATGTGCAAGGCTTTGAAGCCGTTCACGTAGGGCCACTCGGGATTCTTAGGGCACGCTCCACCCTTGTTGTTCCGACATGCAACCTCTATATCTGCGCCTTTTGTGACGAGATCCTTGATGGTGTCCACGTGGCCGGCAGCGGTAGCGACCGCGATTGGATGGGCGTGTTCATCTCGTCGGGAGTCACGGATGATTGCTTCTCCTGCTAGCCTTCGCTCTCTATCGGTCAGACCACCTAGTTTGAGCGTAAACCTCAGCCCCGGTTTCGTTGCCCTACGATCCATCGAGTGGGTAGCCAGGCTTGGCTTGTGTGTCGAGTATCAGGGTCTCGGACAGATCGTGAAGCGCGGCACGCTAATGAAGGCTGAGGAATTACATAGCAGATCGACCAGCGGCGAAATTGGCCGGCGGCGAAAGATGAATATCTCTGATTTTATTTCGTCATGAATCCATCCAGTAGGACAAAACAGCAAATGATTCACATGATATGTTAGGGGTCATTTTCACGCAGTGACGGCACATACTAATCACCGAGTTATTTTTTTTTTTGCGAAAAGCGTACTTGTCCTCGTGAGTTTCGTCGGAGGGGTGGGCTGTGACCATGACTGCCCTATCGATAACTAAGGTGCACGTCTTTCTCAGTCTCTCGAAGCAAAGAACACCCTGCCCGTGAGATGACATTTTCTTCCGCGTTTTTTCCGTTCCGAGAATTGTTACTTCGAGAGATGCCGTGGCTGACTGAAGAAATGACCAAAACAAATTAATCATTTTGTAATGCAGTGGTCGTGCTCTCACGTGGAATCTATTTCTGGATTACACCATCTCAAAGCCCGGTGCGTGGACAACATTCCTCCCGGAAATCCACAGAGAGAGATAGACTTTTTTTTCGGTCAACAAGAACCGGCCAGTACGTATCTGCACTGTTCAGTCTCTTCATCGGTCTGTGGTTTCAAATGTGCGAAAGCACCAGGCCACGTTTCGACACAACACACGGCCCCCAATTACTGTTGTCCTGCTGTCTTTTCCTATACAATACTAAAGTCGCGTTTGCGCCCAACCTACGTTTCAATCGAGGCAAAGACATCACAACATCACCTACGACTTTCTGCATGATCGGCATGGAGAGGTCGCTTGCACAACGCAGGTGCCAGAGAGCTACCCCCCTCCAATTTCGGTAAGTGAAAGTAGGCAAGCGTACCCTAGAGAATACTGTGTTTCGATCCCCGCTGGCAGCTGCAGATCTTTCCGGGACCCTCTGATGCATTGTATGTCTCATGAAGAGTCGAATTTTGTAATAGCAATATACCATATTTCACACATCAACGAACGCTGTCATAGACGCTAGTGAGGGGCGTGACCACACCACTGGATCCGGCTTTTCCGAGACTGTGGGTTTGGAGAGACAGTCATCAAGAAAACCTCACCACTTGTGATCAACATTATTTTCTCCACGTCAAACCTTCACTTAATTATCTACCAGGGCTCAGGACAAACAACAATCTCGGACATATGCCGACTACACGAAACCATCTGTACCTGTTTTGCTACCTCGGTCCATGGCACAATGTCTCTCGTTCACTTGAGTTTCGATCTCACTTTGGAGAGGAGTTCCTAGAAGACCAGAAAAAAAAACAACCAGCAATAGAGTACACTAGATGGAGCTCCCGAACAAGTACCACGGAACACACTCAGCAAGAAATGTGCTACAGTACCCATCCACAACAAAATCAAGAGTCTGGAGTTCACTTCGCTAAAACCAAGAAGCGCGCAACAGGCTATATGTTTGTGGGCTCGAAACCTCGACCTTGTTTTCGCACGTCAATATACTCGTGTTGCACGCACAGGCAAGCCTCTCCCCAGACATTTTGCCATGACCTGCAGTGTCTCACACGTAGAAGCGTGACCACCCGTGGCGGGCTGTGTGAGTCGCGCAGTCTGTGTTGTGTCTACACGCCAGACGTCGTTTGGTGAAAAAAACACGAGAGATGCCGCAACCCACCCAAACCACTTTTCCATCCTGCACCGCTGTCTGTAGAAAACGTGTGTCACGTCATCACAGGACAGCACAGCATGGCCGGTAGCCGGCCACCTGGCCGTTCTCTACCCTTCCCCTACCGGCGGCTCGTCGTTGAGATCCATCCAACTTTTCGCACACAAGTTAATCGTGTTGTCCCGGTACATCTTCTACCAGTATTGCCCCTAGGCTGTGTTAAGCCTTTGGTGGAGATACAGGCAAAGCCTAAGCGGTGGCGCCTTAGGCCTTGCTATTCTTTTCACCGTCTTTCTCTCCGTCGACATCCATCGGAGACGCCGCCTCCTTGCCAGAGACCGCGGCTGCAGCAGCAGGGGCTGTGGCCGATGACGGCTCCTTCGCTCCCCTGGTTCTTCTCACTGCGCCTCCTTCCGAGCGTTCGCCCGCGTCACTATTTCTGACTAGCGCCTCCGCGGATCGAGGCTCCTTCTCCCATATCGTCGCCTTCCCTTCACCTCCGACACCTTCGCCCTCGATATCCATGGGGGACGAACCACCCCCGTAGCGGGGCCAATCACAATGTACCCCACACAACGACCTTTCGGGACCGCACGAGACCACACATGCGGCAATACGTCGTACAACTACTCCTGGCGTCGCGCACGCTGCACTTTTATGATTCCTCCCTCGCCGTGTTGAGCGCGGAGCTCCCGCTTCTTGCTGCCGTCGTTTCCGAACGTTGGCTGCTTCATGCACGCTGGATTAACGCAACTCTTGTTCAAGACATTGACCATGTCCTGCTGTGCGTGCTGGGCACACAACTCCGGCGTGTTGCTGCCCGCTCTACCATAGTACGGCCGCGTTGTGCAACCGGGACGGGTTGTGCACTTCTTCCTACGAACATGAACCATGCCCTCTTGCGCGTGCTGGGCACAGAACTCCATCTTGTTGCTGCCGGCTGTACTATGTGATGGAACCTTCGTGGACACCGGAAGGCCGCACCTCTTGTTCACGACATCGACCATGCGTTGATGGGCTTGCTGAGAGCAGAACTCCGCCTTCTTGCTGCCGCCTTTACCATACTACGACCGCGTTCTTCACCCTAGATGGGCGCACTGCTTAGTACGAGCATGAAACATGCCCGCTTGTGCGTGTTGGGCACAGAACTCCTTCTTGCTGCTGCCGGATGTACCCCTTCGTGCACCCCGGATGGGCGCACCTCTTGCTCAGGACATCGACCATGTCCTGCGGTGCGTGCTGGGCACAAAACTCCGGCTTCTTGCTGCCCTCGTTTCCGAACCTTGGCTGCTTCATGCATCCTGGACGGGCGCACCTCTTGCTCACGATATCGACCATGCCCTGGTGTGCGTGCTGGGCACAGAACTCCTGCTTCTTGCTGCCGTCTTGTCCAAACGATGGCCGCTTTGTGCACCCCGGATGGCGGCACCTCCTGTTGACCACGTCAACCATCCCCTGCAGCGCATGCTGGGAGCAGAACGCCGCCTTCTTGCTGCCATATTTGCCGTACGATGGCCGCGTTGTACAGCCATATTCCAGACAGCATCGTCGTCGTTAGCCATGATACCTGGCGGTCGTACGCGATGAGGGCTGAAAAGCACGATTCCAAACACGATCGAGCAGAACCAACATTCCAGAGTTACATGGATATCTCAGCACCCATTCGAGCGACATCGGGCAGCAGCAAGAGACAACCTGAGTGAACTTATGAGACACATCGCCAAGGATCTGCTTGTCTCCATTCAGGATTGTTCAGAACCCACCCTGTGCTTGATGCAGGGGTAGAAGCAGTCGTCGATGTTCCGCCACCAACACCATTTGCCGTGCGCTTCTTATCTGCCCCATGCTATCACCCGAAAACGCATCGACAAAGGCTTTGACTGCATGTTTTCTTCGTCAGCTACACATTGAGTGTGCTGTGCAGTCGGTTGTTCAAGCGCTTTCTCCTCAAACAATACCTTAACCGTTGGTTCGTACCGAAGGTTTCCGGCCGGGCATCATCTATTGGGAAGGCGGTATTTTGAGGTATGGGAGACCTTGCCTCGCTTAGTCAACTGTACTCACATCACACCCTGTTTCTCGTTACACCAATGAAGTCGGAAGCACGAAGTGGTTGTGTGCACATGTGGCTTATCGGCTACCAGCAGAATAGCAGCGTTTTGCAAGGTCTGCGTGTACATTGTGGGCCCCTTGTTCCTCAAACGCCCAAAACCAAACCTTTGGAGAGTAGTTGTAAGGACCGTCGGAAACAGAGTCAACACACTCGCTAGAGATGCAAGCGTTGACGATTTCCCCTCTGCATAGCATAGCGGTGTCTGAAGGCTGGATAGCACTTTCGGCGGTGCTTGATTCCGCCAGCTGTGCGCTACTGATCGGTTGCCAGGCAACAATCTTCCCATATCCACCCAACCACCAACTGAACACCAATCATCCGCTGGTCGGAACGCAGGCCAAGAGGGAGTGACGCGACAAAGTATCCTGAGCATAGCATGCACTAGTTCGCCCCAAAATGATTACATGTTCGCACAGAAACGCGACAGGAACGAACTTCCACCGAACTCACTGTCTCGTGTGTTGCAGCCGTCCCGCTACCCATTGTTCCTGGTGCGGAGGCCTTCCGTTGGTGCTTGGATGGCGCTCTTGTGGGGTTGACAATGAAACACGATACATACCCAGGGATCGGCTAGAACGTCAAGAGGTAATCGAGTGTGCCGCCATGGGTCAGGGCACTGGGTAACCTCGCCCATCAATTTTCTTTACTCGAACAATTGCAACAACACGATAATACTGCCCGTGGACGTGATGGATTCAGGGTAGGTCATTCTCAGTTTACGGATACTCTCCAAGGACTAGAGCTCCCATCTGCTACGAGCAACGCCAGAAACGTCCAGGAAGCAATTGTAGCTAGAGAAGCAGGGTAACATGGACTTCGATCGAAATCATCGATGTCAAGAATGCAGATGCCCAGCTGCGCACAATGGGTCCGCTGAATCGTCGATCGTTTTTTCTCCCCGGTGGGATAGAGATGGGATTAGAACGCCTATGGACAGCCGGCGTTTGAGAATCGGCCACGTTTGAGACTATCTTACTTCACGGGGGAGGGAGATGACATCTGCCTACGATGAACACTAGGTAAACGACCCAGCACGGTCTGCGGGACAATAAGCGACTCAGTCGGGTACATCTTTGAAGTCAACGTGAAATTAGGCAAACGTATGTGGTCGACGCCCACTTCCCCCCTGCCATGTCACGAAAAGCCCAGAGTGTATACCCTGCAAAGGTATTAGTGGTATGGGGTCTATTCACGGTCTGCTAGTGACTCTTTAGGTCTAACCGGACTTTGAACCTAGGTTCCTCGCATGGGGTATGTCACACATCGTTGCTGACCCAGCCCAACTACCCTTACCCACGCCCAACGCACGGCCTAGCGGTCGCGTAATGGGATAAACGCGGCTGCGTATCATTGCCGGAATGCGGAATGGGGAGGGGGCACTGGAGAATAACCGACCGCCAGAACCAACGTTCTGCCCATCAGAGGGAGTAATTGCACGTATCGGAAGAGTTACCAACATACCGTTAAGACTATGCGTGATATTCCTAAATACTCCCTGCCCTGACGGGAAATAAGACCCATCCATCTGAGTGTTGTTCTGCCGGGATATTTTTGCTTCCCGGGGACAGGGTAGTCAAAAATTAGAACGGCTTGCGAACCATCACCAAACAATAGGGCCTTATTTCAAAATCTCGATTGGCACTTTGTTGTTGATAGATATGTCAACCTGTAGAGTTCAAACAGCAGGTGAAACTTCGATGGATGCTCTCTACTGGTGCCAGAGAAGAGGATCGTCCATTGTTATGGCAGCTGGGTCCCTCCCATCAATGCGTATCAGCCCCCAAAAATTCTCTGCTTTATCCCGCTATCAGTTTCTTGGGCACACAATCATGTCGGGGGAAACCCTGAATACTCAGGATATATTTTGCCAACGCTGTTTTCCCTTCCCAGAACGCCACACGCCCTCAGTACCCTTCACTTGTTCTGCGGGAAGGACTCCTCATGACTATAGCTACGTGGATGTGCCTTCACACGTGACGGCAGTGGGCTGTAGTGGCGACGGCGCCGAAAAAGGTGAAAAAGAAATGAAAACAAAACCCCGCAAACCAACACTGGCGATACGAGCTACTGTATTTGGCCGCGTTAACCGGGCGACCAATGAAAACGCGTCTGTCGCACAGCCGGATCAAACCCCACGCACGTGTTCTATAGTCATCGGGCGTGCCCGACATAGTGTGCTGCGTGCACTTAAGTTACCTATGGCGCCTCGATTATTCTGGACATGGGCAGCACGAGCAGTAGCAAGAGACAATCGTGTCCTTAAAGTTAGCGTTGCCTTCCAATCGCTTCCTATCTGCCCACATGTAACTCCGTCTTCGGCTCGAGGGGCTCATGGCTTCGAGCAATTTAAACGTTTTTCGGTGTATGTCTGTTGTACTGTACCCGTGTCCTCTCGGGCGGGATATTTGCCTCACCGTGGTAAACCCATCAGATTCCTGCCCGGCATACCAGGAGCGCATGGAGAAAAAGCCAAGGCCAGGGCGTACCTCTGTCGTGCAGAATACGCATGGTTTGTGCTCTTTTCGCCTAAATATTCAGCAAATCGACTATCACACATATTGCACCTAGTCCCAGGATGTTGCCACATACCCAGCGTTGAAGAGGGGTTGGACAAGCCGGCGAACACAAGCATCGACGAGGAACACTCCGTGGCTTTGGAGGGGTGCGAACAAACTTTTGCAGGCTGGATATGCTTTTATTCTGGCTTTGGTCACAGAACTTGGGGCTTCGTGGTCTAGCTGGCAATCTCGTACATCATCTCGCCCTAGGTCACGGGTTCAAATATTTCCAACATTCCCAACATTCAAAACTCGCAATTGTTTGGTGAAACACGCGTGGTCGTGAGCACCCACAACAATGAGAGAAGGGGCTGTTGAACCCTCCCCGCGTTAAACGATGAGTTGCTAGGTGACCCCGGGGTTGGTGCATCAAAGTTGTGCCAAAAGGAAATGAATGGCGCCCAGAAACGACGGGACAAACAAGTCAAGCTAGCGAGCGATTGTGGCAAATAGGTTCTTGTTATGTCTTAGTGTGGGGACCACTCCCTCCCCTAGTTGATGTCTTCCTTGATTTGCGTCGATTTGTGGGTCAGCTTGAGACCACGAAAATGTGATGGTTTGCCGTGAGGGGTGGGCAGACGACATTATGGGTAGAGGTGGGAACGAAAATTGCCGTCATCACGACAAGAACCGCAGCAGCAGCAACAGCAACAGACCCAACAGCATTCTAGCTGTAGCCCCCAGGCTCGCCTGCTGTTTCCCAGGCAAGAGCCAGGGAGGAGGGGTGCCTGCCGACAAAACCGTTGGCGATGATATACAGTCGAACCTCGCTTAAGGACACCAAAATTAAGGAAACTCCCCTTGATAAGGACACTTTTTTTTTCTGAAACGGGGTACCCCGCAGAATGTACAATCCGGGGGGGGTACCAGATATAGTCCACAGACCCCTCTTCACCCAGCGCGCAGCGCCTCTGTAGACAGCCGAGAGAGGTCTGCTGCGGCACCTGCTGTCGGCGGGTATGAAAAGATTCCTTCCACACAGCGGTGCAGCGTCTACACCTCAGCAGAAACGATGCGAGGAACCGACATGCACGATGTCAAGGCCCGTCTCTTCGGTGCACACGTGCCCGTGTGGTCGATGGATGCACGGGTTTTGTGGTCGCGGCATTGGGGCAGTAGCCTAGAGAAGGTTCGCTCCTATTTGTACGCGAACGGAAAGGATGGGGAGTACAACGAAACCCAGTACCTTCTTTCGAAAGCTGTGCATTCGTTCACTCACGAAACTCAAGTCAAGCGGCGAGCTAAGGATGGGGGGGAGACGCAGGCAACTCTGCGTGACATGTGGAGGTCGTAGTGTGTGGAATTTTTGAACCAACGCCGTGGTTGGGTGGCCTATCTATTTCTTGAATGCGTGGCAACACATTTGATTAGCGCACAGCAGTAGTGATTGCAGTGTGCGGTCGACCAGAGTTCTGTAAAGTGAGCGCGAAGGTTCAAGCGTTGACATAACATCTTGGTTGCAGTGTTGTTCAGTACAAACAACATCAAAAAAGAAATATTCCTTCGACCTTTTCGCCTCCCCTTTTGGGCAACGAATACTGGAGCCCAATGCGCGTCTTTTGGCGCATAAATCGCCTCTATTGGCCCCGGGGATGGTGAGTTGTGGCCCCCTGAATTTTAAGGACACTTCCCCGGCTTAAGGACACCTTTTTGGGGGAAAAACCACGTGTGTCCTTAAGCGAGGTTCGACTGTATCCCGACTAGGTCGAGAAATCGAAAAACTATCTTCAGCAGCAATTTTTTCGGCCGAGGGGGCAACATGGATTGAGGGAAACGTTGCA